AGTCGCTGGCACAGCTGCAGGTGGGTCCACGGGGCACACGCGAGCCGTGCTTGTGCCTGCCCGGCCGCCGGGGAGAGGAGGGGCGGGCCCGGCCCGGCCCAGAAGGGCTCCCTGCGCAGTCCCCGTCTCCAAAGCGGAGCGAGGGAGGCAAGCGCTCCCTGGTGCGGGGATGCTCTGGGCCATAAAAAAAAAAGTGGGGGGGAGAGAAATGTTGCCGCCAGGCGCCCGGACGCCCGTCTGGCAGAAGGAGCCGGCCAATGTGACGCGAGGTGCGGGGTCCCGAGCCAGGACCTGCTGCCTCACAAATTCGCTTCCTGCGTCCTTTTTTCCTTTGTGCTTTAACCGTGTTCATTTTTAGTGTTTCCAGACTCGCTCTAGTTTCTCCTTCACTTCCGTTTCCCTGGGTTTCGCCTTGCTTTGTACTAACCTATGGCTTGTTCTTTCCCTTTCTTTTCCAAATAGTTTTGTCGCCTTGCGTTTCGTTAACAGAAAAAGGCTGCTAACTACCCCTTCCCCAAGGTGGGGCTCAGCCAGTCTCCTTCCATCACTGAGGTACTTAAATTAACTGGGCACGCTTCAGAAGTGATGGCTAGGGCAGCATGAGTAGGTGCCCAGGACCCGAGGGGGGCACCCCCCCCCCCCCCCCCCCCCCACCTACCTCATGGACTGGTCTATGCTGCTGGAGCCTCTGCAGACTTTTAGAAAGTCCCCAAAGCGAAGGAGAATCCGCCCTTCTCCTCCATACTCAGAGGCATGTCCCTTTCTCCTCCTCTGTCCCCACACCTGCCACAGCTGCTTTCCCTGCTGTCCTGAGAGCAGGGGAATCCTCAGAGCTGCTCCTGCCCACTCCAGCAGGGGTCTCGCCTAGAGCAGTAACGGTGTCCGTGGCTTCCCCTGCCTGCTCCTGGGGGAACCATGCTCCTGCCCTCCCCATTGCTGCTGCTGCTGTTCTCAGCTGAGCCCAGATCCTGTGTAGCCCGGCTGCCTCAGGCAGGAGCAGCTGTGAAGCTTCCCGTGTACCCGGGACACTACTGGAGGAGGAGAGGGAACAGAGGGGTGGGAAAGGGTATGCCTCTAAGCACAGAGGAAGGCAGAGATGCTTACCTGCTTTGGGAACTTTAAATAGTCCCTGGAGGCTCCTGCAGCAGTCCATCTGGCTTGGGGGAAAGGAGGCTGGCAGCAGAGGTGCAGACACCCCTATGGCATGGGTGGTTGCTCCTGCGTCCCCCTTTGCCAAATCCTGGATCCCCCTGGCTGGAGAGTCCAAGGCAGGGATTGGTTCCAAGCATGCTCTATACACCACCTCTTCTTACTGTGTTAAAACTATGTATCTTTCCGTCTCTGTGATGATTTGTTTTGGGTTTTATACAATAGTAGGTCATTTGGTTTTTCACAAAGTTATAATGTTTTAAATTGTAAATGTGTAGGACAGTATTTTGAAGGCAGACAGTCATCCTTTTAAAGTAATTTATAACATAAATTACTTTAATTTATGAAGGCAATATGCTCCTGTGTGACACCCACAAATACAAATCTGTTTTAAGCCGCAACTTGTTCCCATTGAGGATGAAGGCAAAATCTCTTTAACTTTGGTTTTACAGCTTGGATATTTGTTCCCCTTTAATGACTGAGTAGAATTTATAGGAGGGAAGATACAGAAGGACATAATGTGGCAACAACAGTTACCAGTGACCACCTGCTATTCGGTACATCCTGTGCAATTATTTACTTGGTGATCCTTCTTGTTTACACAGGGTCTTGGCACACTAGGATTTGAATGTACCCTTGAAGAGGTTGATCTTGAAGATATCACTAAGAATCAAATCAACACAATAAAAGCTTGTATACCAGAGGCTTCAGAGGTATTTCAATAAACAAAAATTAAGTTTTATCATTATATGAAACACATGCAATTTATGGTATAGATATACCATCATCACTTAATAAATGTCATGTCTGATGTCTTTGCTTTTCAGAATGGAAATTGTCAAGTACTGGAAAAAGCTGATTTTGATGAGGTAAATTTCCAGTCTCTCAGAGGAGCAATTTATTTTCCTCTTGTTTGTTTTATAAAGTGTCAAACAACACTTTCCATATTTCCTAATCCCTGTATCTTCTGCAGACTAAATGCCTGAAAGGTATCTCTGAAGACCTGAAGCTATACAAGGGAGAGTTCAGGAGTTTCAGTAATCAAAAGATACTGGATGCTATTGACCAAATGATGCAGGTCTGTCTCCCTACCAATTACGGAAATGATTACTTGATATTATTTCCATCTTGAATGAAGTTCTTTTCTATGTGTTCCATTCTGTACTTAGCCAAATAATGAGCTCTTCTGAAATCTGATAATTTAAAGGATTGTTGATGGGGTTTTTCCTCAAGACTAGAAATGTTGAAGTAGGGGGTTGATACTGTATTTTTTGCCTTATCGAAAGAATATTCTAGCTGTCAGTACTGTGAACATACCATTTAAAAATATTTGACTTTTTCACTAGGTATCCCTTATCTACATGAAATGATTGTATTTTTTGCCAGAATGAAAAAAGCTAGATTTAGAAGAGTAAAAGTGATTTTTATTTCAGATATCACAAATATGATCCAGTTGGTAAGACTGAACAGTAAAATATATTAACAAGAAATGGGCAATAGTTGTAACAGTTATGAAAGCATACTAATAGGTGCTAGCAGTCACGTTTGTATTTTAAAATAGTGGGCTTTATATTAATATAGACTCTCCAATTAACAGTAATCTGCTCTTCCTCATAAAAGATAGCATATTGAAATACAGATGTATTTCTAGACTGAAAAGAAGCTTTTGGCATCAGTGTATCTGTACAGCATGTTACTCATTTCATTATTATTGAACACTAATGTTTGTTTGTTTTACTGGAACATTTCATTTTAAATTGTATAAATTACCTTTGATTAAGCTAAAATGTTTGAAAACAGATGTAGACTTTAATCTAGTTATGGTTAAATTATCTAATCCACCTGGCCCCCTTGTTTTTTAGGCTTTGAATATCAACAGTGCGAGTGTGCCACAACCAGCTTCCAACACAGGATTGCCTTCTTTTAACGATAGATTGAGGCTATGCAGTGTTCTCCAGGCTTTCCTTATTCGCGCTATGACCATAAACAGAATGATGAACTACTTGAATTCTCCTGAAAACTCATCATAAGCACTGAGAGCTAGATGCACTTTCTCTATTTATATTTGAGTAAAGCTTTTTTTAAGTATCAGGGTGGGGTGGGGTGGGGGGGGGTGGGAACTATGCTAGGTTCCATTCACTGCTGGACCTCTGTGTCTGAAATCAATGTAATGTGTAGACGCACAGGACTTTCAGGATTGGAACCTGCATTTAAAGGTTTAATAACATAGCTACAAAAGCTCTTCAGGGAATAAGCATGTATGTTACAAAGTGTCTTATGAAACAAATCTTCTTGAACAAATTGCTATCTGTGCCTTCCAAGCTGAGATTCTAAATTCCTGCATTCTTACAAAATAAGCTATAATTTACCAGAATGTTCTCAAACTACCAAACACTCAAGTATAATTTATTTATATTGAATATTTTATTTATTCAGTGGTGTTTTTCATTAAATTATTGTATACATTGAAATATACTATTTATATTATACCTAACTTATTTGTTATAATATTCCTGACATTTATTATCTAATAAAATTTATATTTTGTGTAATCAGTTCTGGTTATTTTTTCTTTTCTTTCTGTGAAATAAAACCAATCAAAAGGGATACTGTCTGATTAGAAAGTATGTTGTTAGTGGGTTTTTTGCTTCTTTTTTTTGTAAATTGCATATCAAGAACACACATGAAGGTATTGCAAGGTATTTTTTTTAATCTAATTTTTCCTCACAATTTATGTTCAATGTGTGCTTTTTTTTTTTTTTTTTTTGCTTCCCTCTCAAAATGGCCAATTAAAATAGACTAGTCAGTTTTATATCCTTATAGTTAGTTTCCAGGCAATTTCATAAAGTCACAGGGTGAAATCCTGGAGCTACTGAAATGAATGAAAACTATGACTTTAGCTGGTCAAGGATCCATAGATATACATTCATATATTTTAAGGGTAGAAGGGACCACTGGATCATCCAGTTCAACCTCCTGAATTGAGTGTTTTATGTAGTCTGAAAAAGTAACTGCCAGGAGAGTGGGTGGGAGGTTTGTCTATCATTATTCCCCACTTATGCCCAACCCATCTAGCAATTAATTCATTTATAACCATCTATTGACACATCTATTATGCCCTTCTCAGCCCCAAATCAGTTCCTAACATCCCATTCCATCATTTTTGATCCCACTTCCTTTCTCCCCCTACATGTTTAATCCTTCCAGCCTCTACCCCCCTCATCCTCCCACATCATGTCCTCTCCAATTTTGCTCCTATATTTCTTTTGTCTCCCACCAACCCTTCTCCCTCTACACCCCCCAAACTCACCTTCTTTTGAGATTCTCCACCTCAATTCTCCTTGGCCTGCAGTGGACCTTTCTGCCCTTCCCAGGTTGAAGGGAACAGCTCCAGGGGGGTTCTTGCCCCCACTCTTCCCAAGCCAGATGTAGGAAAGGATTTTGTGGGGTTGGGAACAGGAGGAAGAAGCAGAACAATCCTGTTGTTCACAGAAGAGGAAGGAGGAGGTGGGCTACTCAGCTGCTGGGTTTTCTGCTCCTCCTTACCTACTTCCTAAGAACAGTATCATGCTCTTAGTGGTGAGTTAAGAATTCTCCCACCTCCCACTGCAGCCCTAATTGACTGTTTTACTGTAAATGCAGCAGACATACCATCCAAACTGTATGACTACTGTAACTGTAGTTTGCAGCATGTTGATAACATTTAGTCAGTTGTGTAACCTTACATAACTTAAGTGTTGCTATACTGAAATTGCATAGTTATGCTAAGACCTTATCCAGGTGTTCCCACGAGCTTCTATTTTTATCTGTAATGAAAGCAAACAAGAATGAGATGGAAAAAGCAAATGAGCTTTCTAAACCTTTTTTAGTGTAGAATGCATTAAGTATGTCAGGCATGGAAGGACACTGTTCAGTTTCAGAAGCTTCAGCTAACAATTAAGTGTACAGCAGAGCTCAGGCATACTTCTCTTGCTAGGGCCACATTATTTAAGCATTATATCTTGTCTAACAGCCACTTTCCAAGGACCACAGAGAAACAGGTTTAGATTGATTTTCAAAAGGCCCAAGAATAAGGCCATAGGCTTTCCACAGTTTCTAGCCTATGGCCTAGTTCCACTATAAAATTAGGTCCTCAAACATATTTGGAAACAGATTTTGGATTTGATACTATTCTGCTTCATAACCCCAATGGGAAACTACGGGAAGAAGCCTCCTAAGAAATGTATGCTTTGTATAGCCTTATACTTCTATCTGCCAAAGTGCTAAATTATTAGTGCTATACTAGTAAAGTCCATTTAGCTTGTCTGAACAGCTTCCAAATCATTTAATAAATTACTTAATAGAGTAATGAATTCAGTGTTAATTCAGCACGATGTTAATTGGCCAGTAATCAATTGATCTTCCCCAAGCAGTAAGGAAAGGCAGCTAGAAGTGTGCACTCTTCGGTGATAGATTGCCTTTCTTGGATTTATAACCTGTTGCACTTTAAAAGTTGTGCTTGCATAATACAGCAGTTCTGGTAAATGTGATTTAACATACAAATTCCCACAACTTGCTGCTTCACTAAAGTCTGTGTGTATAAAAGACACCTGATTTTAATATAGAGGCTCACAAGTGATCTAAATTATGAGCTAAATTTGATCTGACAGTTCAGAAGTAACAAGCAATTGATCTCTCTCTGGCCCCCTCTACATGTGCACATAAAGGCATGACTGGGTCTAATTCGTACTCAATTGTGCCTCTTGCCATGTCACATGTGAAGCAGGAGACACAGTTGTGGGATCATGCATTAGATACCATTGTGCCTTATTGTTGGTGTAGGGGGGGCCAAATCCAGGACTCCCCCTGAACTGGCAAGAAGCAGGTTCCCATGGCTGGGAGCCCACTTTGATAAGAGGCTCCCAGCTGCAGGGGCCACCCATAGTTGGGGCTGAGAGTCCCACAACTGATGGGGCTTTTGACCCTGGCTTTGCATAAGAGTCCCATCAACTGTGGATCTCTCAGTCCCAGCTGTGTGTGAGGCGCAGTGGGGACTGAAAACCCTGTCGATTGTGGGACTCTCCACACTGGTTGCATGTGAGGCTGGAACCGAGAGCCCTGTGTGGTCTGGGGCTTTCATATCCCCCCAGATCTTGGAGAACACAGTATCCACAATTCCCAAGGCTCGGGGGTTTCACGTTGGGCATGGTACACCCCTGCAGCTGGAAGACCTGTATAAAAATAAAATTAGTACACATTTTCAAGGTCTAACTTTTTATAGCTGGCTAGAGCTAATTCTGTGATAGCTACTTTGCACTTGTAGCTGGTCTTAAGGTAATTACACAAGTAACCAGTCAATTGTGCAATACCTGTAACAAGTAAAAGGGGCCTCTCTAAAAAAGCTAATACTTGTCTCCTCTGCCTTTCAATTAGACTGCTTCCAACTCCTCACTGTCTGAAGACAAGTTGGAACAAAGCGCTGACAGTACAAGCCGCATAGTCTTTCTTGATCTCAGCTTCAGGGAATTGCAGAAAAAAATTTTTGCTGAGTGCCTCCACCTTCAAGGTTATGGCATGGTCAGGGCTGAAGGACTGTACAGAGGACTGAACTGTCAAATACTCGGGAGTTACTATTGAGCATATCGGAAAAGTAACATTTAAGATACAAAAATATAATCTGGCCAAAGAACATTGTTAATTAACTCTGCACATGAGACTGTTTAGAAAAGCTGTGGGCAAAATACAGCCCATGGGCCGAAACTGGCCTACCAACTGATTGGATCCAGCCCAAGGGGGGTGCTCCCCAATTGACTGGGTCCTGCCCGCAGCTGCCCCGAGAGCGCTCTGCATGGGGCTGAGTCCTGCCTGGGTCAGCCTGTGCCATACTCCAACCTGCACCCGCTGGCGCAGCTCTGGCCAGCACACACAGCTTACCAGCAGGGCTGATCCCAGCACAGCTGCTGCCCAGCTCCCCTTGCTCCTGCTGCACTGCTCTGAGCCAGGAAGAGCTTCACCTGAGTGGCTCCTGCCTTAGTGCACAGGACTCAGGCTCCAGCTCCTGGCTGCCTTCCACCCACCCAGCGCAGACAGCCAAGTGGGTGGAAGGCAGTCAGGAGCTGGAGCCAGAGCCCCACACACTAGGGCAGGAGCCACCAGACTGAAGCTCCCAGCTGCCTTCCACCCACTCAGCTGCCTGTACCGGGGGAACCAGAGTGGGTGGAAGGCAGCCCGGACCTGGAACCAGAGCCTCATGGATTGGGGCAGGAGCCACCCAGTTGAAGCTACCTCCCAGCCTAGAGCAGTGCAGCACGAGGAGCCACTGTTAGAGGCAAGGGAAGTTGAGCAGCAGCCTCACTGGGAGCAGCACCGCTGGTAAGCTGTGCGTGCTGGGTTGGTGGGCACAGGCTGGGTCGGTGAGCGTGGGCTGGAGTGCAGCACAGCCTGCTCTGGGTGAGGCTTGGCACCATGCAGAGTGCTGCAGACCACACTGCCTGAGCAAGCTCTGCTACATGTGTCCCCTGCACCCTTCTCCCCCACCGCACCCCCAGCCAGCTCCCAGGACCTAGCACCCAGGCAGCCCTGCCCCCCCACCCCACACGCACACACATGCACACACACACCCCTGCACAGGGAAGGGGCCACCCCATAACCCCACCTCATGAGTCCAGCCTCGCCCACTCATCTCACTTCTGAACATCACTGCCCCATCCCTGCTCATGGTCCCATCCCACATAAGGAGTTTTGGTGAGTTGTTGCAGTGGGGAAGAAGGGGGGAGTGCTGACCTGGCCCACAACAACTCATCAAAATTCCCTATATGGCCCCCAGGCCCAAATAATTGTCCACCCTTTTAGAAGCTAATAACATCAGGTGGGATATAGCTCAACATATTCTTAATTCTAAATACAGAGAAAAGCAGCAGCTTTCTTTTAATTCTATAAGGAGATCCTCCAATACTATATGCAGAGAGGAATTAATTTTTTTCACCCTCCTAGAAAACGCCTCCACTAACCTTCATGACTCAGGAACAAACCTTAGCTTCCCAGCATAGCA